GGGGAGGAATACAAGTGTGTCGTGATTCCCTGGTAATATCTCATTTACTCTTCGCCGATGATTCCTTGATTTTTATGAGGGTGGATGATACGAATGTTGTTGCCTTGAAGGGAATTTTAAATGACTATTGTGCGGCTTTAGGGCAATGGGTGAGCACGGCCAAATCATCTATTTATTTCAGTGCAAACACAGATGTGGAGGACAAAGTTGAGGTGTGCCAGACACTTGATATTATGATAGAATCTCTCTCTCATAAATATCTGGGATTACCCTCAATGATAGGTGTGGATCGAGTGGATTGCTATAAGCACTTGATAGAGAGAATCCAAAAACCGATGAACGGTTGAAGGAAAGAACACTATCTTATGGCGGGAAAAGAGGCATTGATTAAGGCAGTAGCCCAAGCCATACCAATGTATGCGATGAGTGTATTCAAATTTCCTAAAAAAATGCAAAGGAATCACTGATATCATATCGCATTACTGGTGGGGTGATGGAGAGAATCAGCGAAGGATGCATTGGTTTGCTTGGTGGAAGGTGTCTGTTTCAAAGGAGAAAGGAGGCTTAGGCTTTCGCGATGTTAATAGTTTCAATTTGACTATGCTCGCGAAACAATGTTGGAGACTCGTTGAGAATTAGGAATCTCTTTGACCCATGGTTGTAAGGTCCAAGTACTACCCATCTAGAGATATCCTAAACTGTCAACTCAAGAAAGGTTCCTCCTATGTATGGCAGAGTATATGAGCTGGCATTCAGACTTTCAAAAAAAAGGTGTATTTGGAGAGTGAGAAATGGCATGAAGATCAACATTTGGGAGGATAGTTGGATCCCAAATAGCTCTTTTAGGAAGATAATTACGGTGTGCGGCAACAGAATTCTAACCACTATGAATGAATTGATAGACCCTGTCAATGGAGGATGGGATGAGCAAATTATCAGGGACAATTTTTTGGAACATTGATGCAGAAAGAATACTGTAAATTTCTTTATTCCAGTACGATACAGATGACTTTATCGCATGGCATCTCACAAAGTCTGGTACCTTTGCCGTCCGATCGGCCTACTACATGTAGTGGGAGGATTCCTATTTGGCCCAAAACTCAAGTACATGAGGAATTAGTGGATTAGTGTCACATCCAATATGGAAGATTATATGGAATCTTAAAATGCCAGGGGAGGTATATTTGTATGGAGATGCCTTCACAATGCTATTCCATGTATGGATGTACTGGCTAATCGCCATATCTCAACTTCTGGTTAATGCCCAGTGTGTCAAATACATGCGGAGGATGTAGCGCACACCCTGTTCATGTGCAGTCGAGCAAAAGAAGTATGGCACGCTCTGTGATTACTTGAAATCATAGAACAAGCATGCACACCACACTTGTCAGGAGCAGAAATCTTAGAGAATCTGTTATGTAATGCGACTAATAGGAAGCAATATTTGGACGTAGTTCAAATCTCAGAGATGATCGTGGCTACCAGCTGGTATCTGTGATGGCAGCGGCGTCAAATTGTGAAGAAGGAAGAGGTGCAAGCGCCGGCGAGAACTGGTCCAGCAATCCGAGCCTTAGCACTTAACTATGTGCGCGCAAATGGGAAAACCTGTCGCGACGCCGCGTATGAATCGTTGGAGGAAGCCGCTATCTGGTCAGCTGTCACTTAACGTTGATGCATCCTTTAATGAAGAAAGTTACTCGGGGTCATGTGGAGCTGTCATTTGAGATCACCTTGGCTCTTTCGTTGCTGCATCACCAAGCTTGAATATGCAGCCGATATTGTAGCAGTTGAAGCAGTTGCACTGGTGAAAGGCCTTGAGCTAGCTCTACAACTTGGGATAAAAACTCTTCTGATCCAGATGAACAATTTGATTGTGGTCGAGTCCCTAAAAAGCAACAGTGAGCATTCCATGGTGGCTGCTCCAATCTTTGATGAATGTTGTAACATGATGGAAGATTTCAGGAAGGTCGAAGTAGAACATTGCAATAGAGTCAAATATGGTTGCTCATATATTAGCTCAGAAGGGCAGCCGATATTGTAGCAGTTGAAGCAGTTGCACTGGTGAAAGGCCTTGAGCTAGCTCTACAACTTGAGATAAAAACTCTTCTGATCCAGATGAACAATTTGATTGTGGTCGAGTCCCTAAAAAGCAACAGTGAGCATTCCATGGTGGCTGCTCCAATCTTTGATGAATGTTGTAACATGATGGAAGATTTCAGGAAGGTCGAAGTAGAACATTGCAATAGAGTCAAATATGGTTGCTCATATATTAGCTCAGAAGGGACGTGTGGAACCTCCGGCTTTTGGATGGACACACCCCCGGGTTTTCTCTCAGTTGCTCTAGCGGATGATGTAAGCATTTTGTGAATAATAAAGCGGCCATGATGGCCTTCCCGTCAAAAAAAAAGTTTGCTGGGTTAACTTCGTGGTTTTCTTCTGTGTCTTTTTTTCATGTGTGGATTTCTTCTCGGTTTTGGCCTGTATTTTAGGTAAGTTATTTCGTTTCTTATTTCTTCACCTGCTTTTTCTTTCTTTTTCGGTTTTCATATGTCTGTTCCCTGGATTTTATATTTTCACTGATTTTCGTGTTTCCTTTTTCTCTTTGGTTTTCTTTTGTTTCTTTCTTTGGTTGTTTCTTTTCTGTTCTAGGTTTTTTTATTTTTCTTTGTTTTTTATTTCTTTCTTAGTTTTCATTAGTTTTCTTAGTTTGTCTTCATTTTTTTATTTTTCTTTATCTTTGTTTGTGTCCTCATCGGTTTTAACAGTTTTTGGGGTTTTTTATTTTTATTTGTTCTCGGGGTGTTTCTTTTGTTTCTTTCTTCCACTTCTTAGGTTTTCATCTTTTTTTTCCTTTTTTCTTCGACACATGTCGACATTTTTCATCCGCACTTAATATTTTGTCTATACACCACGAATATTTTTTGGTACATGTTTAGAACTTTTTAGGTGATTAACATTTTCAAGAATTAATGTTTGATTACTAATTTTTCCATACACATTGTACATATTAGGTATATATCAGGAATATTTTTAATAAATGTTTAATTTTTTAAAAAATATGACCAATAAATTTTTATATGTTATCTACAATTTTTAATTTTTATGTTAATTTTTTCATACATGTTCTACATTTTTCGTATACATCAGGAACATTTGTTTTTATACATTTCACATTTTTTAAATAGATTATTAACATTTTCAAATATTTCTGTTTCATGACTATTTTTCGTACGCATAGTACATTTTCTATGGACACTAGGAACATTTTTTATGCACGTTTAACATATTTGACATACATGATGAATATTTTTCCCAATTTTTTATGTTAATTTTTTAATACACGTTCTACATTTTTTTATTCATTAGGAACATCTTTTCGTACACGTTTAACATTTTGATACAGATGATTATATTTTCAAATATTTATTTTTGGAAGTTTACTCTTTTCATACACATTATATATTTTTTCTGCACATCAGGAACATTTTTTATACATGTTTAACATTTCCCAAGTAAAATATTAACATTTTTAAAACTTAGTTTGCTTTATGTCTACCTTTTCTATACATCAGGAACATTTTTTTTACATGTTTAACATTTCCCAAGTAAATGATTAACATTTTTAAAAACTTACTTTGCTTATGTCTACCTTTCCTATACTCAGTATATATTTTTATATAAATCAAAATATAATTTTATACACATCTAATATTTTAAAAAAACATATGTAAGGCATATTTTTTTCATATATATGTTAGAAAAATTTGGAATTATAAATAAATGTAAAAAAGAAACAAAAGAAAGATGAAAACAAGAAAATAAATGTTATAGTGGACTCTCGCACGCAATTGGCCTTCTCTGTAATGCGCTCGCTTTAGGCTAGGCGACCGTCCAATTCGCGTGGAGCGAGGAGGTATCCGAAATCAATAATTAAGGAGTACTTTTTGCAAAGATCACTCCCCTCCCCAGGTTGCGACAAGCGGTGCACTGCATGC